TTAATAACATAATTACTTTAAACATAGTAATTCAGGAAATTGTTATAACTTAGAAGCGTATATCCTGATGCATGCTCAGGCTTAGAAGCGTATGTTTTTTAATAGTTGATTTGAAGACCAGTGGCTACTCAAGAGTTTGAGCTGCAATGTGGGAAAATTTTGTCTTGGCATTATATGGGTAGATGGTAAATGAACTGTACCTGATCAAGATACTCAAAACACTTTACACTGTAGTGTAAAGCGCTTTGAGTATCTTGATCAGATAGAAAGGTGCTATATAAGTACAATCCATTTACCATTTACAATTACACTACAATCTGTGTCCTCATTTACCCATTCATACAGCACTCTACTAGATCGCTACAAAGCTAATGGAACAAATCATTCTAAAGAGACTAATCGGTGCTTTAGATCACATTCATACACCGATGGGGGACACATCGGAGGCAATGAGGGGTTCAGTGTCTTGCCCAGGGACACTTCGGCATATGACTGTTGATGAATTTGAACCCCCAACTCTTGCTGGAGGATGACTGCTCTAACCACTCAGCCACGGCCGCCCCAATGTGGGTAGGGCCATCTCATACACTGCTCAGTAACAACTGACAAATACCCTGTTAAGATATTTATCTAGACCGGTCCGTCCCAGTGGTCCCGCGAGGAGCTCCGGCCCGCAACCAGCTCCCGTCTTTAACAACCCGATCTACAGTATATACGATCCATGTGATCCCCAAAAACATGCTGCCTCCCAATTCCTCTGTTGGTGATATCCTTCACAATTATCCACAACCTTATTGATGGACACATGTGATGGTCTGAACCTCGTCAACCAATGGAATCATCACAGGTGAGTTGTTCTGAATCAATTTGCTGATTCCACATTTGCTTTCTACGACGGAGCTTTAGGGCCACGCTAAGAAAAAAATAATTGCATTATAAACGAGAATAAAGGCATAGTATAATGAGAATAAAGTCGTACGAGAATAATCTCAAAATATTACTAGAATAAAGTTGTAATATTACCAGAGCCCCAACACAAAAAGTAGTCTTACAACTGCAGTAAAATGATGAATGTTGACTTTGGATGTACAATAGCAGGGGGTCCAACGCACTGTGGTGTATGTATTCTTATGATAAACTGAAGCCGTATGACATTGTAATTCATGGCTGCATTGACGGATTTAGTCATCACATAATGTGGATGGAGGCATATTTCACAAACACTGACCCAAAAATGATCAGGGAACTTCTACTCCTACTTCATAAACAGTGACTCACATTGGAGGCTGTCCACAGCAGGTGCGAGACGACCCAGGACGTAGGCTATTAAGAGTTTACAGTATTCTCATAAGAGTATGACTTTATTCTCGTAATATGACTTTTTCTCGTAATATTACCACTTTATTCTCGTAATGTTATAATTTTACTCTCATAATATTGTGACTTTACTCTCGTAATAATATGGCTTTATTCTCATAATATACGACTTTATTCTCCTAATACAACTGTATTCTCATAATGTTTCTACTTTATCTTCATAATATTTATACTCTATTCTCGTAATATTTATACTTTATCCTCATATTTATACTATATTCTCGTAATATTTCTACTTTATTCTTGTAATATTTCGACTATCCGCTTAATATTTCGACTTTATTCTTGTACGACTTTATTCTCGTAATTTTTTTCTCTTAGCATGGCCCTACTCCGTCGTCGTTTTCTTCTCAGTGAGAATGAAAGTGCCCCTTTGATAGTTCACTTAATACTCAGCTGTTCTTTTTTTCTTCTTCCTGAAAGTAACAACTGGATACACATCTGCAACTTATCGTTTAGGATAAACCTAATTCAAAATCTCTGCAACAGCTGATCATTTTTAGCTAAAACAAAAGGTTGTAACCATCAATTTTTTCCAGTTCTAAACTAAGCTTGGATTTGGTCGTAGCTGAGAGTTATTCTAATCAGAATGAGTTAGTATCCAGTTCATGTCACACTATTAGAACAGAAAAACATGTTTTTATATACTAATAAATTAATTTAAATTTATAAATTATATTAAATACTATCCATCTATCAATCATCTTTACCTCTTTCTTCCTTTTCAGGTCGCGGGGACCCTGGACAGGTCTCCAGTCCATCACAGGAACATACATATACAACACCATATATTCTCTAAATACCATGAAGCCCTGACATTTTGTTGGATTGTCAGAACTAAAAATGCCCTTTACGCTTCTACACACGGTGAACTGAAACTAGTAAGATTAAAACTAGCAGCAAAATATAATTTGGTGTATTCGTAATGTCATTAGAAAAAATATTGTACATATATGCAAATACATGCAAATAAATTACAATCTGGCTTGTGTTCTCTTCATTCTACTTGCAAAAAAAAAAAAAAAAAATTAAATGCAGTTTCACCTGTATCAGTAAAAAAAAAAAAGAAAGGAAAATCCAAAAATATAAACTGCACTACAATATTTTTGCAAGTACCGTTTTTTTTTTTTTTAATACAGTAAAGCATCAAGGTTATGCCGAATCATTTTGAAAATGAGTACCGTACTTTCCGCCTACACGTCGCACCGCCGTATAAGTCTAAATATTATATGTCTAAAGTGGAAAAAAACATAAACAAGTTGCTTTGCCGTATAAGTTGCATCTATTATGCATCATCACTGACGCGCCGTGTTTGTTATGCATCACCGATGTCCACCCAGAAACGTGGGCCGGTGTGCCAAAAATCGATTGGCTGCCATAGGGCGGCTACGTGCACAGGAGGACTTTACCAAGAATTTAACAAGATTAGCACTTAAAAACAATTATTAGTTTGCTCGACATTATAGTAAAGGTGTGTTTCAGTTGAACTTTTCCTTAATAAATGCACTTTAATGGTCAAATCAGCTGCATTTCGCCTGGGCGGCGCTGCAAAATGCAGCTGATCTGATGTTTGCTCGAGGAGTTCCGGAGCGAGACGAAGGTGGCCGCTATGGCAAGCCAAGTGTCTCATTAGTAGCCACTTTTACCTATTAATGAGACACTTGGGTTGCCATAATGCTCGAGGGCCCTCTAGCAGCTGCAAATAGCAATGTTTAATATTTTTCATGTCAGAATGAATTAAATCATTAGATCTCAGCAAAAAATTGACTCATAAATATGGGGGGAAAAAACATATATTAGTCGCTCCAGTGTATTTGCAAATTTATGCAAAAAGGTGCGACTTATATGGCGAAAAATACGGTAACTAAGAAAAAAAAATGTTTCCACACTGGCAAGTTTCAGGAACAGCAAAAAGACAAAGCCATGAAGAAAAGACACAAAACAAAAGGTGTTGAATTCTGTATTTGTCCGTTTTTAATTTTCTGGCATGTTGTCCAACTTTAAAATACACCGGTGGTTATGGTGCAGGATATGCACCTTTTTCATGGTACAGTGGGATCCTGTATCCTGTGTAAAGACATTATTAGCTGATTATTTTACAAACACATTAGTGGGCATAACATTGTCAAGAAATGCATCACTGTGAGCACTTTTTGCAACAAAAAATCAAGACAATGCCCCAAAAGGTTTGTAAAGATGCTCAATTAAAAAGGCTCGACTAGAAAAAAAAAATACTAAGAAATTTGTTAAATATTAAAACATATAAACAGAAAAGGTCTTTACAAGTGTAACAATTTATTGTAGATATAATAATAAAAGTGACAAGGTCTGAAATAACCAAAACATTTTTGCCATTTGCCCATAAAAACCCAAGAGTGACAAAGACGTAGATTTGTTCCAACAAGACTGTACAGCTTTAAAAATTCTTCATTTCTCTTTCCCAAGAGTTCACAGAGCAATACGAGGCATTATTTATAAAAATTAAAAAAAAGCCAACAGGTTGCCTCGTGCTCAAAGACTGAAATAAAATCAGAGCTTCAGCGTACCGTTAAAAAAAAAAAAAAAAGAAAAAAAAAAGTACAAATCTAACTCGAGAACCTGAGGTCTGAGTTTATGAATTTCTATCAACACACCTAAAAAAAAGGTGTCCAAAAAAAAAGTCTGATTTGCACGGAAAACATAATAAATTACAAACTACAATACAGAACAAACCAGGTCAGTGATTTTTTTTTTGTGTGTGTTATTTATTAAACTGTGACTACACTGAAGAAAAAATAGAAAGAACAGTCATGAAATAAAACTTCCAGTTTCTCAATAAAATGAAACAAACTTCTATAATTTGAAATGTCCATGCTGTAGTTTTAATAATAATAACAACAATAATAATAAAATGATTTGTTCGTGCCTCCTTCAAGCTAGACGTCTTCACCCACGTAGTTCATCAGAGACTCCAGACTTCGGCTTCTGTTGGCTGGATGAGTCATATGTACAGGAAATGCTAAGCGAGGAAATTACTGGAGTGATTAAAAAGCTCGAGTCGTCAGTAACTGCCACAGACGAGTTTGTGGAGGTTTGAATGGAGAGCTTTGGGAGCACAGAATGAAGTCACAGGATGCAGTGAAGGTTGAGTCAAGCTCGCCAGAAAGTCGCTTTAGCACCACGCACTAATGCTCGTTGGCAAGCAAGACCAGCGTGTCCCGTCGCATTTCCAAAGCCATACGAGGGAATTAAATCAGTTTTTGACATCAACAAATGTGCAGAGACATTTGCTTTTCCGTGGAGTCTGTTACCGATGCTTCAATAAGTTCAGACCTCCATTAAACAAGGACACTTTGCTGCTCAAGAAAAAAAAAAAAAAAAGAAACATTGAGGCCCAGATGTAGGTTGTTGCAAAAGCCAGTGAAAGATTTCCAAAGGTTCAGATCTGAGAAGAAGAAAAAAAAGGTGGGGCCATCTCAACTCGTGCTCCTGCAACACGAAGAGAGGTGGCGGTGAGTGTTAGCAGCCGAACGAAGGGAATCTACGAGCAGCCATGTCACGTCTCTGGAAAGAGGCTTCCAGCTGGGACCGAAGACGTGTTGGAGTGATGTGACCTCAGACGGCTCCGATTGAAAGGTTGCCGGTCAGACACAGGTCCCTTGGTGAGCCGGAGGAAGGGCTTTTCTGTTCTTTAAAGCTTGAGACTTGTCTTTAAAATCTGATGGTTTCTGCTGTGAAACGTCGATCAGCGCGCTGGCGACAATGAGCCCTGGCGAAGAGGGAAAAGTGAAAGATTTAGCAGGTAATTTGTTTTGTTCTAAAAAATAAAAACAAACAAACAAATACACGAGTGAGCAAGTTTTCATTTCAAACAGAAAACAAATAATTTACCCACGAAACGTTATGGTCTTACTGCGGTGCTACTATAGCTTCTTATCGATAACGACACAATTTATGTCCTACTTATAAAATGTGTACCGGTACTACTGGAACATACAACACCTGAGTCCAGACAAATGCACCCATGGAGAAAATGAAGATAAAAGTACTTATACTGTGAAGTCAAAGGTTTTATTATTATTTGTATAAACAAGGATTCAACATTCACACTGTTTACCTGGTTATAGTTTGTTCTGTGTATCTTTTGAAAACAAACTTTGTGCCGTTTTCTCCATTTGTGTATGAAAATCTTCAGCTCACTTAGAGATAGGTGCTGCAACATCTGGTTTTTGTCACTTTTTAGATTTCAGCAACTATTACAGCATACTAGTTCTCCTTTTGTCTTCTTATTCGACCAACTTTTTCTGCTCTGACACTTTAGCTGCACTTTTTGTGCTTTTAACTAGCTTTGTGTTACTCTGCTAGCTTTTTGTTTATACTTTTATTGGATGTAACTGGGACCATGTTTACACAATTTCGTTCCACCACATGTACCACATGTGATGGTAATGATAATAAAAAACCTTGACTTGACTTTTGTTACTTTTGGCTACTCTTGCTGTTTTTAGCTAGCCTCTGGTTACTTTTATCTAATTTTTGCTACTTTTAGTTAGCCTTAGCTATATTCCAATAGTGTTTGGCAACTTATAACCAGCTTTTTGCTACTTTTAGCTAGCCGTGGCTACATTCAGTGAGGTGCTGCTGATCAAATAAACTGATTTAAAAGCTGAGATTTTTGGCAGGTTGCTGAGCTGAAGCCTTAAAATTTGAATCAAGGGAATAAAACATCAAGTCATGGCAAAAATCCTGGTCCCAAACGTGACCTTCACTGCGAAGAATGTACAGAACTATGATTTAGGTGCACGGTTATAAGCATAACACTAAACTACATGACAAGAAAAATCACAGAATAACATTAACTAATGATTGCAACCTTTTGTGTGAACAGTTCAAATGTCACATTTTGGTTTTATATGATCACAGAATAAAAACAAAGTCAGAGTTTTACCTGACTGTCCTGGAGGAGGTAAGCCTGAGGGCCCAGACGGCAGCCGTATGAGGACAGTCAACACGGCAGCTTTCCCTCCAGAACAAGGCTCCATCGCCACAGGTTTAGGCGCACCCTTAAGAAACAAGAGCAAAGGGGAAAAAAACTCTACAATTACAACAATTTTAGGCCATAAAATATAATTTCACAAGGAAACAAGACTAATCTATGAGATGCTACTTTATTACATAAAAGAAATGAAGTTTTTTGCCTGAACCATGCTGTGTTGGATGCTTTACCAGCTAAGCTCAAATCAATGATGTTTCAGAACTGGTAAAACATTTTTTAAAAGGACCATCAGAACAAAAGCCACTTATGTCCGCTGATGGAGCTGCTGCATTTAAGTCGAGACGCCCTCCTCCTGTGACAAATGCTTTGATTGGTCACAAAACAACAAAAAACACACTTGCGTCGCTGTCAGGCAGTCCGAGTGTTGAGACAACGACCAACCCTCGGATGTAATGGCCAAAACAGCTCGTCTCAAGCGTGAAAAACATGTCATCCTGATAATGAACGTCGAGGGTTTCACAGCATGCTTCGGATGAAAGGACAGAAATTGTGGAAAAACAACATGACTGATTAGACTTTTATTTCTTCTGTGTGTCACTGAATTTAAAATAAAGATAACAGAGGCTGCAATGTCAGAATGTGAGGAAAACAAGACATTTACAATTACAGCAATTATAAAACACGAGTAAATTAAACCGAGCAAACCTAGAAAACAACATACTGTTCATGAGAACAGTTGTGGATGGCTCTCAGTTACTACCACACCACGGTTTAGCTTAATATCTGTAAAACTGACGGAATTGAAGCCATTTTTTGTGGTTTCTAAGGTCAGCTGGCCGTGGTGACCTTATTGAATTGGTTTGGCTCCAAAAATATTCTTTGGTAGAGGTCCATCTGATTTCCATTTCTTGGAAGTTTCAAGAAAATCCATTTAGTAGTTCATGGGATATTTTGCCAACAGAAAAACGGAGCTGATGCCACATAGTTTATGATACATTTGTATTTAATAGCACAATCTCTTAGAACAATAACTCATAGAGCTGATTAATAAAATATATATTTAAGCAGATAAACAGCAGTAATGAAATTCCTCTTCTACTCCCTTCCAGTCCTTTACGCTGAAGTAAATTCAATCTTGTTTTCTGTGAAATAATTTTCTATCCATTCAACAGTTAGAAATGGCTCATTGTGGTCATCTGGTGAAGTCTTAGTAAATCTGTGAACATATCAAGCTGAAAATATTTATGTTGGTTCTCAGATCACCGAAAAACTATTTACAAAGCCTGCCTGTTTGCTTTTCATTTATCAAGTGCGAGTACGTTTTATACGGTCATTCATAACCCTTCAAGCTAATAAACATGCACACGTACGCGTTAAGAGTGCATGCATGCACGCACGGACAGTATCTGCTTTGCTCCCTGGCTGACAGGTGTCATCAATCATGCTAGCTGTTCGTTAGTGGTTCCATATGCTGAACGTCTGCCATCGTGGTCTGTGTGCCGGCCCGTGTCTCTCTGTCCAGCAGCTGCTCACATCTTGGTCACTAAAAGATACTGTATGGTCATTTTGGCTGTTTGATGCGTCCAAATGGAAGAAATGGCCACGGAGGCTGCTATGATTTTCTCTCTCAGACCAGCTGGAGGGTCTGAAGCAACAGTGAGATCAGTGCAAATGACACAATCAAAAATAAATAAATCTTATTTTTTCATGTTTTTCTGTGTTGGAAAGGGTTTGCGGGGCTGTCTTAAGCCTTGTGATGCTTCACTGATTCATTGTTTGTGCAGTTATGATAATCCACAAGCAACTCTGATCTTTACAGCAGCTCATCAGTCAGAAATGCATCCAAAATAAATGCACAAATAGAGCTGGTGAAACAACAAAAACAGGATTGGTGTCCTCTTCATCATTACCAAATAAATGCAATAGCTAAGTGGGAACAGATGCTGACAAATTAACGTCTGCAAAGCAGAATTATGCTCCTTTCATATGGTTCACCTTCAGCTGGTGCCAAGGCAAATAGGCTGTATATCATCCAAAAACACATTTAAATGTTTAAAACCAAAATACGACTAGAACATAAAAAATGTGCTAAAATACACATTTTAACTAAAAGGTTATTGTACAACAATAATGTTACCGTGATGGGATGTGACTTTATTTGCATTTGGTAACAAATGTATTATCATTACGAAACCACTAAGAAATAAATCCACTTCAAACTGGATCTTTAGGCACTTGGTTATTAGCGGCTTATCCCAAAGAGATCCTTTGTTTCCTGTTGTTTTTATTTAGTTTAACAGTGAAAAATTAAAAATAAAAGTAAAAAACTGACACAAAAAACAAAGACTTTGCATGAACACAACATTAAAAGTGCTATTAGCTGAAAACTAACCATTCAGCAGCTGATCATCTGAAGGCTGATGATATTTATGGCCAGATTTCTGATGTTTAAATATTGTTCATCTACAGACAACTCTTTCAGCCCAACATAAGATGCTGTTATGGTCAGGTAAAAGTGATTACAGTATTTTTCGCGGTATAAATCGCACCTTTTTGTATAAGTTTGCAAGTCCTGTGACTTATACACCGAAGCGACTAATTTACGTTTTTCCTCATATTTATAACTCAATCTTCAGCTGAGATCTGACGATTTCATTCATTCTGACATGAACAATAAACATTACCATTTGCAGCTGCTATAGGGCCCTCGAGCATTATGGCAAGCCAAGTGTCTCATTAAAAAAGTGGCTATTAATGAGACACTTGGCTTGCCATACCAAGCCACCTTCTTCTGGTTCCTGAACTCCTGGAGCAAACATCAAATCTGCTGCACAGGTGAAATGCAGCTGATTTAACATTAAAGTGTATTTATTAAGGAAAAGTTCAACAGAGACACATCTTTGCTATAATGCTGAGCAAACAAATAATTGTTTTTAAGTGTTAAATCTGGTTAAATTCTTGCTAAAGTCCTTCCGTGTGTGCTCCTGCGTCCGCCATATGGCAGCCAATCGATTTTTGGCACGACACCGGCCCACGTTTCTGGGTGGTCAGCGGTGACGCATAATAGATGTGACTTACACGGCGAAGCGATTTATTTATGTTTTTTCCCACTTTATTAACCATTTTTGGACCGATGCGGCTTATACGGCAGTGCGATGTGTACGACGGAAAATACGGTAATTAAATAAGCAAAATCTAAGGAAAAACTTAGAAAGACCTTTAGAAATACCTGAAGAACTATTCATCAAGACCACGTTCAGAAATTACATAAAACTAAAGCCTTGGAGGAGATATTTAATTATAAACGGTTTAAAAGTTGAACAGATAATGAACTTTTTTCCCCATGGGTTATAGTTTGCAGCAATGAATGCAAATCGAAGAGAAGCCCATGAAGCCACAGGCTTGTTTTTCACATTACATCTGTCAAGAAACGTAAGACTGCAGACAATCATTATTAAAACTGCTCGGGACACCGTCCACAGCTCGGATCCTGAGTGGCTCAATTCACGGCTCCTCACAGAAACACAATCTTGAGATAATTGTGGGGAAAGCAAAGACTGGAATAGCTCACCCTACACCACATGGACCCATAGTACTATGACAAACCTAATTAACATTTTACTTTAATCAATGCAAAGCCCCATTTCTGACACTGCTTTGATGCTTGGAAAGTACAACAGCATGATGCACTCAGAGCTGAGCAGCATTGTTTTTCTCCTCTTTTGCACTTTGCATTGCCCTTCACCACACCGTAACGCCCTGTGAGTACCACTCAGCGGACCACTCATCGCTAATGTGGTGCCTCTTTGCAGGTTGCCAAAGTGATTTTATTTCTTGAAGGAGCAGGCGACACAGAGCTTGTGCCTGGCTGAGAACTCACCGTTGGTCCTCAGCGCTTGTTCTGAAGAAAATGATATGTGCTTTATGTTTTTAAAAGCACTCGCAAACATAAGCCTGCATGTGTACATCTGAGTGCAGTTAAAAACAAATTGTGGGTACTAATAATTAAATGGTGGCTGTTTTAGTCAAAAACATTTCATGCTGAAATACAGCACTGGTCATGTCAAGAATCAGATTGAAAAAAAGCATGAAGTAAAGCACCTGTGTGTGATCTGTCTCTGTTTAAGTAAGCAGTGAGTACTCACATCAGCCACAGGCTGCAGGACTTCTGTTAGCTCTCCTCTGGCATCCAGTGAAACAGCAACTGATGCAAATGGACGACTGGCCATCTGCTGACGCTCTCTCATCAGCTGCTGTAATAATAAACACAGATGACACATGAACAAAACATGAGAAACACTCCATTCAGTGACTGACACACAAAACATAAAGGATGCCACTGGATAAATGGGACATACAAAAGAGGCACACTGTGACGTTAACCAAAAAAATAAATCAAACTACAAAATGCTAGAAGTTAAAACAAATCATTATTTTTGATATACCAAAGGTTATTGTGTTGCTTATACGGTTTATTGACGACAAAATGAAAATGCAACGTGTAAAAAGGTTCTACACAAAAACGGGGTTTTAAAAGTTTTACCAAAATCTTCATCATTATTAAAAAGTACAGTTTCTACTTAAAAATAAACATTTAAACGCACTTCAGAATCTGCAATGGATAATGTCCAGAACTACAATAAATAATAAACATTCTTAAATGGGTACTATTAATATCTAAGGGTTTTCTTGTGCTGTAACTATTTTTGATCAATCTTTTCATTCATTTTATTATTCTAAATAAAAACCCAGCATTTCAATCATATTAAGTAATTCAATTAAATCTCATTAACCAGTAAAACAGACAATGCTAAATAAATAATATTTGTAATCTAAATCAATTTGCCCACTTACACAGGAAATTAATACTGATTTTATAGTAAGTTACAGAAGAATTATAAACTACATATATAATCGTCATCCATAACGTATGTCTTCTATGAATATGTATTTACTGATTTAATCACCAGAAACTTAAAAAACGGCAAAGTTTCTCTCACACCTCCTGCACAGGAAAGTGTTGGTTCATACAATTTGACTGGGCAGCATGAAAAAGAACTGGGGGGGTAAAAAAAAAAGTTTTTTTGCTCCCCACTAATCAATACTGTAAAACAACCAGTACCACACTTTCATCAGAAACACACCGTCTGATCAATATCTAAACAGGCTGCAGTTTTAGCACCAAGGACATCACTGACTGGTATTGGTTTTGTGATGAGCTTAAGTGTGTCACATTTAGATCTAATTGTAGTCCAGATTGCTGAGCCGTTCGAGTGGTCTTGATAAGACCACCTAGAACTTCCCATGTACTTTTTATTAATATGGCACTGAATATATACAAATGATTTATTTTTAAAGTATTAAAGTATAAAGTCTTCATTTCTGTTTAAAAGTGCAGATTTGTCAAATAATCTTATTCATACACACAAATGTCTCCTTGAAGTTACAATGAACACTAAAATACCTGTGTCTAAACCCCAACCCTTATTCACTTTGAAATAATTAGGTATTCACTGGGCAGCGGCACGGTGGCTCAGTTGCTAGAGCTGTTGCCTCTCAGCGAGAAGGCCGCTGGATCAAATTCTGGCCGGACGCCTTTCTAGGTCAAGTCAGATTTGCATGTTCTCTCCGTGCATGTGTGGGTTTTCTCCGGGTACTCCGGTTTCCTCCCACAGACCAAAAAACATGCATGTTAGGCTGATTGGTAACTCTAAATAGTCCCTAGGTGTGAATGGTTTTGTGGCTCGTTTGGCTCTGTGGCCCTGAGATAGATGGATGGATAGATGGATAGATGGATAGCTGGATAGATGGACGGACCGACAGACAGTTAACTAGCAAGAAAAAGACTTTTGAAATTAGTTTCTAGCTGTTATAACAAGAACACAATCTGAGTGGTAGGTTTATTTAAAGACTAGTTCTGTTCAGGATGTATATAAAAAAAAATAATGGACTATTACGAAGACATTTGTGTTCGTAAGATAGAAAAACAACCACATTATCGAAAACCTTTGATTTGTACATTTCTATTTAATGTCTTCTAACCTGTGTCCAAAAATCTCAAACTGCAAAAGACTTGTTTGACCTGCCTTATTTCACTGGCATTCATATGACTGGATACAGATGACTAAGTTGAAGCACCAGATGGGTTGTCACAGAACCATCTGGAAAGTAGCCCGTTGAAACAGTTCGAAAACTGCCAGAGAATTTCAAATAAACATTTGGCAGGTAAATGGATAAGCTATCTGTCCATCACTATTTATCACGGACAACTGCAGGGTCAACTCGTCGGATCAATGTAGTGGTGCCAATGGCAGTTGGCAGACTACCTCTGAAGGCAGAAAACGTATTTTCCAATGACAAAAGGTGTCAAAGTTGGTCTTTGACTTTTAAATACCCTATAATCATCTACCCAAGAAGCTGTTCTTGTTGCTGGCTTCTATTACACTTAAAACTCTATTAAGTCTCTTAATCTTCACAAATACCTTGGAACCTGGCACAACAGTGATCTCTTCAGTCTCCGAGAATCCAATAGCCGTTGACAATATTAACTCTGGAACATTTTCTTGAGTATTCAACTCTTTTCACCAAATAATTACTTAGTGGCAACATATATCAGTCAAATGTCAACTCTGTCCATACTTTCATGTGACAAATATGCAAGTTGAAGTTTTGTGAAGTCTCAAACATTAGTCAACTGTAATACAGACTTGTTGGTATAGACAGAGTGAGGAAAACTGTACGGTTTTCTTCAATCTGAAAAAGGTCCCCTAGGGGATGTAGTGCGAAGAAGAAAAAAAAAAAAAAAACAGCACCCACATGAAATTGACATTGATCACCTGATTGATTTTTCTTTTTTTAAACTTTATATCTGAGGTCCAACATTAAATTGTCGTACATCTCTGCCATTAAACATCAAACCAGCAATACAAAACCTATAGATTTGCGCTGCCGGGTCGCAACCGGTCAAAATGAGAAATGTTGCCCTTTTGGAAAGAGATAAACGCAGGATGGAGGGCCCGGCGAGGTTGTTGCAAAACAAGAAAACGGCTTACGGCTTATTACAGTTTCCAACACAAACGTTTCAAATCCAACAACATTCATCCTAAATGTCAGATAGCAGTAATGTTATTTATCATGTTGCAGAATTCATTTTAAAGCAACAAACCACAACAGGAGAGCAGAAGCTAAATCGGTGATTGCTAGCACTGTGCCGTGTGTCATCGAAAATGTGCTGGGAATACAACCATCAAAGGAGCCAACACAATACCACAGACTTTCTAGAAATGAATGCTAAGTAAATGACAATAAGAAAGGCTGAACTCTGTAAAACCAATTAATGTTCATGCAATGACAGACAGATTTTGTCAAGAATACAAGCTGGAGCCATTCACGGTTTTGATAAGGGGTGGCTGTGGAGTGCATTGCTATGCAACTTGATTAATTTGGCAAGTGAGGGCACAAATTATCTGTCTAGTGAACACAACATTTTGTTCCCTTCATTGAATTTTATGAAGAGGTGGGTGTCATCCCGCCTCTGAGCATATTCTACACCTAAGCAGGTCACTCTGTCCTTTTTTACAGATCGCTGCTTGTACCCATAGGCTTTTTTCTTGAGAGCCAGAAAATACATTAATATGCAATAGTTAAACTAAAACCACACACAGGACTGTATTACTTTATCTACATTGAAATTCCATTTTTTAAATTTCTAAATTAATATATATCCAGCCTAGTTTACAAGCTAAAATGATCCTGGAGTGGTTTTATGTAAGCTAAGACAGCAAGAACAACGCCAGAATATAACATTTTTGTCCAATTATAACATAAATTAAGTAAAATTATAATAAAGCAATATACTAGAGAGGTGAACATCTGAAAAGTGCAGACCACAGGTACACCTGAAGTGCAACTTTAGCAGAAATTACAAGGCAAACTTTCCCTTGAACAAAGGACAATCAAGGTGAGAAGGGGCTTAAGAGTGAGATAATCTTATTGTAGCAATCAATGACTGCTGATTGGGCTCTTCAAGAGCAAAATGAAAGACCATCAACTCAGCAGGGGACACGTGAACATACTGTGGTTCGTAACGTGCTCCTGTCAGCCTCAGGAGTAAAGTAGACCAAGAATCTGACCATTTGACAACAGACTTTTGCAAAAAAAAAAAAAAAAAAAAAAAAAAAAAAAAAAAAAAAAAGGTTCTCGAAGCCAGTATCTGACAACTGAATTTACATTCAGCAAAGAAGAAAATAAAAATCTAGTAAGGAAATCAATTTAGGCAACAACGAACACAATAGCATTCTTCAAATTGAAGCAGAAATCTTAAAAAGTGCAATACGTACAACAAGCAGCAGTTTAGTCTGAATGTGTAAGTTCCATTCTTCGTGCTGTTTTGTCAATGTTGCAACTAAGAAAAAAATGTTTGCTGCTAGGAATCTTTTTCAGAGTTGTAACTCCCCTGAAATTTTAAGTGTCTAATTAACCTTCAAAGTCATGAGTCTATCGGTCACAGTTGTTTCTTTAGCAACCCAGCTTCATCTGCCTAAGGGGGTAAAATGATGATTTATTTCATCATATATGAATGCAGCAATTACCAAAATCATGCATATCTACTGTGCTGCGCTAACATTTTAAACCACCACTAATTTCCATAGTTTGTGATGTTTCTGATGATGTTTCAAGGGTTTCTTTTGGGCGTTGGCTGAAAACACACCTTGAGCCAAAGCCCAAGGTTCACTGTCTCTCCAGCATCTGACCATGACAGCAGATTGTGCAATGTGCATTAAAGAAAAGGGAAAGTGGACACAGAAATAAGTGTCAGGCCTAAAAAATGTATCCTAAAACATAAATGAAAGTTTTGTCTTTAAGAAATACAAAAAGAAATCCAGCAAAGACATGACCCATCCATCCATTTTCTTCCGCTTATCTGGGGTCGGGTCGCGGGGGTAGCAGCCTAAGTAGGGAGGCCCAGACTTCCCTCTCCCCAGCCACTTGGGCCAGCTCTTCCTGGGGAATCCCGAGGCGTTCCCAGGCCAGCCGAGAAACAGTCCCTCCAGCGTGTCCTGGGTCTTCCTCTGGGCCTCCTTCCGGTGGGACGTGTCCGGAACACCTCACCAGGGAGGCGTCCAGGAGGCATCCTAACCAGATGCCCAAGCCACCTCAACTGGCTCCTCTCGATGTCGAGAAGCAGCGGCTCTACTCTGAGTCCCTCCCGGATGATCGAGCTTCTCACCCTATCTCTAAGGGAGAGCCCAGA